CAGTTAAAGTTTAAATCGCGGTAACTATATAAGTAAAGAAATTCTCGTTTCTTCGCTACGTTTTTAAACAATCGTGTATTTCTCTGAAGAAATACGAAATAAGCCGATCTGATATTCGTCGCCACGAGAAAATGCATCTTCCCTCTTATGCCTTGCATAATATTCTTCCGGTAAATGGTGCGAACTTGGCAACCGCAATTATAGCGTACCACAAACTCGTTTGGTGATTATCAGCGATCGTCTTGCCGCATTGCTCGTATTTCCTTTTTAGACAGTCTATTTTAACGCGTGATGTTGTCTGCCATTATCCCCAATTTGAGTAGTTAGTGAAAATCGCAGGCTCGATCAAGTTCACTTCAAATGTACTTAATCATTATATTGCAGCATAGATAAATTTGGAATGAGAGAAAGAGGGAGAGAGAGAGAGAGAGAGAGAGAGAGAGAGAGAGAGAGAGAGAGAGAGAGAGAGAGTCTTTAGCATGTCATAAATTTATTATCGAACTTTGATACACTCCTGAGCTAAAGCGAGAACTTCCTTCTGCTCGTTCTCTTCCTGCTCTTCGAACTTCCGTCGAGACGGATCTCGGAAGGTCTCGCGTAGAGTCGGAAACTGCGCTGGCTGGCACACACGAAGTCGAAAGAGGCTTCGCAGGTAATTGCCAGGCCGGCGGGTCGATAATGAGCACTGGCTTCGGGGAACCGATTACGCCCGACCCGAACCAAAAGCAAAGTCGGACCTCAAGAACCAGAGAAGAGCAGAAGAAAGATGAAGATGAAGAAGAAGAAGAAGAAGAAGAAGAAGAAGAAGAAGAAGAAGAAGAAGAAGAAGAAGAAGAAAACGGAGAAGACGGAGCAGAAGAAGGGCAGAAGGATCCATTGGGAGAAGAGGATCAACTCGGGGAAAGGGAGGGAGGAAGGGAGAAGTGATGAAGGAGAGATTTTAAGTCGCTATAATCCCCCGGACCGTATAGCTCCGCGAGAGCGGCATTCACAGGTCTCTTCGCGATCCGATAATTCAACGGGCTTGGAGTTCGATATTCCGACTAATCTCACATGATGTGTGTGCAAAAGTTCTCCGCGTGCGCCCTTTTCGGGGCACCGATAATTGCGGCTATATCTTTTTATTTTTGTTTTGCGTTGCAAACTGTCTGTATCCCGACAAATGCCTGCGAAGCTTGCTCGGACGTGCTTGTATGTCATTAATCGTGCTCTTTACCTTCACCGGGGTATGTACGGGAAAAATCTACGGCGCATTTATTATTTCACTTTATAAGACGTCTTTCCGTGTAATTTCACAAACTGAAATTATTCTAAATATTTATACAACATTTCAATTTCCGTTGTACAACGATTTTATTCGTTTGAAATATATATATAATTATTATATTACTAGATGTACTCTTTTTCAGCAATAAAAAAAGATTGTTAGACGTGCAAAATATCAGGGTACTCAATATTTATTGATAGCAGTAACGGGTCGCATATTAACGGTATTATAAATTTATCGAAAAACAGCGAGATCCAACGAGGACGAAGAAGAAAAATTTGAGAAACAAGTCAACATATCGATATACTAGTATAAGAAAAAAAAAAGAAAGAAACGTAACTAATTGCTAAATCACCGGCAACGAGTTTGTCGATATCAGGCGATATCGAGCGGCCACCTGCGCGGCTATAAGGAAGAGAACATCGCAATGGAAAGTGGAAGAAGTGCTCTGACAGTGCAGAGATTGGCGAAAGAAGAGAAGATGAAAAAAGAGAGTCGAATCGAGCGAGGGGGAGTCGAATGAACAAGAAGAAAATGAAGTGAAAAAATGGACGAAAGGAGAATAAGAAGTTCTTCCTCTATCGCGCGATGAAACCTGCCTAGATCTCGCTACCGGGATGAGGTAGAGGTAGGTGATCTAATTTCCCGGGCAGTCGTGCAGAAAATGATCCAGGCCGCGATTACGAAACGGCTTCCAGTCTTTGCCGGGGGCGACGAAGGCGCCGTTTTTGCCGCTCTCTTTTCGTTTCTACGTGCCGTGTGCTACGATCGTGGACGCGGTGTTGTCAGCTACCTGTACAAATAGAGAACGACATCCTGCGTGTGCGAGGAGTTACTTCATAGTTAGGAAAGAATTTTTTGAAGATAACCGTCCCAATGACGAGAATATTACGAGAGAAAACAATTTTGTTGTCGCAATGGAACGTTCTCCGTCCTTGAAAGCTGAAGTTTTAAAAAAAATGTATTTTAATTTAGAAAACGACATTTTGCGTGTGCGAGGAGTTACTTTATAGTTAGGAAAGAATTTTTTGAAGATCGCGTGCGAATGATGAGAATATTGTGAGAATAAACGATGTTGTCACGATAAAATGTTCTCTGTCCTTGAAAATCGAATCTTAAAAAAAAAAACCTTCGATTTTAACCTGGAAAATGACATGCTACGTGTGCGAGGAATTACTTTACAGTTAAGAAAGAATTTTTAAAGATCGCGTCTCCAATGATAAGAATATTGTAAGTGAAAATAATGTTCTCGTCATGAAACGTTTTCTGTCCTTGCAAGTCGAAGCTTAAAAAAAAAACTTCGATTTTAACTTTAGAGAATATGTTCATCGTTATTTCTTTCGCAATACAGTGCATGCATATACAGTGTTTTGTAAAATAAGTACAAAATGCACGAAGCGCCACGTAACTCGTGGACCGGCAGTGTAGTGGCGACGATGCGGTGCCCCTTCGTGGCCTCGAGGGTCGCTGATCCCACAATTAACATAATGAGGTAGAAAACGTAGATATTAGCGCGAGGTTAGTTAATAGTGCACTTATCCGGAGAATGTAAATAGTTGGTGGTCGCGGTAGCTGTCGCTCTTTCTCTCTTTCTCTTTCATGTTTCGCAGCAGCGGTCCATCCCTCGCCTTCTCGCGTTAATTCACCGCGTCCCGCATTTTCCGGTCCTTCCTCGCCCTCGAAACACTGCCATGTCATCTCAAGAAATCTCGTAAATCAAAAGTGACAAGATCGAATTTCTGTTTGCATAATGCGGTCGTTTTATTCCACGCGCATGTCCCCGAATCGAATCACCGGGCGCGAGGCTTACGTATTTCTCTAAACAAATTATTAATCAACGTTAGCATCAGACATTATCAATTAAAAAAATTAAGTGGCAGCGTACAATTTGCAATCAGTGATCCTAAATCGATACGATCTTTCGATTAAAAAGATGCCCCAGCGAGAGCGTAACGGATAATAACGGTGAAGAATAAAAGCAAAAGTAAAGCGTAACGAGAGAATTCCGCGAAGAAGGAAAGATGCGGTCGGTGATAGTATTTTAATTAGTATCGCTATTAGTACTATCCTACAGCACGAATCACAGTTCACGAGTGGTAAATAGAAGTTGAAAAAATAAATTAATGCGTATTATTACCCCAACTGCATAGTAAATTAATTTTTTGCTGATGCCACTGTAATGACAGACATGACTACATTTTCAAAATTTTCTATGTTGCCACTGTGCTTAATAGCTTGAATTTTCTTCTTATTCATTTCCTTCTCTATATAGAACCATTCATTTCGTACTCTTTCTTCTATCATTGCAATCTCGTTACTTCTTGACGTTCTTCAGCTCTTTTCAATGTCGTTACATCATTACACCGTCTGCTCGAATGCACCGGGTGCATCTCGCCGCGGCCGATGGTATCGCCGTAATCTGCAACAGCTGCAACGGGGTTCTCGCGGTTCGAGACTATCTTATCCGTTGCATCCCTGATTTCTAGGCCTCTCCCTCTCTATCCCTTCCCTACCGCGGCTCACCTCTCTGCGCTCGCAAATGGCGGTGGCAATTTGCAGGTGCAAAGTTCACGACGGAGGGAAACCGCTAATGAGGGAGTGGTACGGAGCCCCGATGTGCAACGCAGGGCACGCGTGGATTTTCAAAGGGTCGGGTTAATTACCCGCTCTGACCGCTGGAATTGTGACTTACTCGTGCACGTTGCTTTCCACAAGCTGTCGTGCATTCACAATCGCTAATTTGTCTTTGACTGCATTCTTTCGTCCACTGACCCCCCCCCCCCTCCTCCCTTCCCTCCTTTTCCATCATGTCTTTTTGCAGTCTGCAGATCGAACTAGCGAATGTTATTTCTACTTCAACCCGCCCCTTCGAGACCGTAACTGTCCGATGGCGCCTCTCACCAGCCATAAATTAATTAAACTGGCGCGGAGGTGTGTGGACGGGTGTCAGTGCGGCGTTCTTCATCTTTTAACCCGTTTCGAACCAGTTCGCCCGTATCCCGTTCGAGCAGCCTAAACTCGAGTTGCGCTACGGTTCGTTTCATATAGTTTTCAAAGGGGTAGGATTTGCATTCCTCGAATATGAATATTGTTACATTTCAAAGCCTTTCAACAGATGTTATTGTATTTTGCTTTCCTTAAATAAAGAAATTTTGATCTATTTTGCATCTGTCAATATAATTGGTCTATATAGAGGGGCAGGTAATGACATATGTAACTTTACTGTCTAGCTTATGTAATCTCTTCAGCACTATATCGTGCCGCTAATTACACCCTGAATGGGTGCTAATCGCTTCCAAGTACGTATGTACATCGTTATTATAATTATCACTGTGTGGTCTATGGGAATTTATCATCATAACAACGTCATTCGTCGTCTTTGCACGCACTTATCTTAAATAACTTCGTTTAACTTAAAATGCAACAACATATATATCATGGTCGCTCTCAAGCTGGACGCGTGATCGAATAAGATTGACGGAATAATAAGACCAAACACGGAACCTTCACGGAATATATTATAATTCAAATATTTTATTTTTGTCCGCTTTACCGTATCGAGGACTCGATACGATATATTCTTATTTCATATCTTTCATATCTCTCGTTCTTTGTGCAATTAAAACCGTAAACGTGGAGAGACGTCAAATTTTTATCACGTCCGCAGATCTTAGGAACGTCTTAGGAACAGCTTATATGTCGGCGCATAGTTGTTCGCATAAATCGTTCTTTGGCCGACGTATGGCAGGGGGGCGTGAATGGGGCGTAGCAACATAGTAACGTTTATTACATTGGCTGGCAACTAGCGAACTGTGTGCCCTCGCCGATCTCTCCAGAGGACCAGACGCGTTAAAACTTTGCGGGACCCCATACATGGACACTCATCGCGACATTTATCGATACCATTTCATCTCGTGCTGATGCCCGATGTTGATCGCGAGACAAGTACGAGTACAAAGAACAAAGACATCCAGGTGATGGAGGTATCGCTCTTGCTCTTAAATAAAATCTATCCTAAAAGAGATAGAATGATAAAGCTGGATAATGTAGTTTAAAATATAAAATACGCCAACACTTTGTAGTTTACCTCGCCGTGAATAATGGCGGTCGGTTCGATTTGATGTTAGAAACGAGCAGAGTAGGTAAACGAGGTAGTCAATACGCTCGCGACGAATGTTCTATTCCCATTGTTTCGCCGTGTGCAGGTCACTTCCACGAGTAAAGATCGATCGAGTGTGTCACGGATGGTCGGATGGCACGTCGAATGCACGTCGTTTTCGCATGAGCTTCTCGTCGTGTTTAACTAGTGGTGACTCCGCAAAAGGGGGAAGGCCGGATGCGGTAAAGAGACACCTCTATGGACGCCACTTGCTGGCATTAATTTCTCACGATACGTCGTGCAATTCCCTTTTACATATATTTCCCTTTTACGTATATAAGGCCACCAATTATATGCACGCTCAAGGTGCAAGTACCGTGCATCGATCGTATGTTCGAAAATCATTTAGCACAATTATCTAGGTGCATGCGATCTAAATTGGGAAGGAATGAAGTAGGGAGTATTAATTCTTGATTTGACTACGTTATTTCACGCTCGTGAATGATGAATTCTTATGGAGAAGAGGCAAGGTTGGAAACAATATTAGGAAGTCGTAACGGGATCGAAATTATTGGTGAGATTCTCACAAAGGAAGAAAACAATGAAGGCGGAGGCAAAGATTTATTTCAAGCCTCGTAAGGTTCATGTCGGAATAGAAATGTTAATGGGTTTCTCATTCAGATAGAGGAAAGATAAAAAAAAATCACAAATTCTGAAATCATTTTCGCGCTGCTAAATTCGAGATCTCATTTAAGACGCACGATCGTTAGATTCTCGTAATATCGTGTCGGTACAAAATTAAACGCGATCGCGGAAACTTGAGGAAATTAAAGCGACTCTAAAAGTATCCGTGAGGTTCTCATAAAATGATGAGTAAAGACGATCGTGGAATTCTTATTAATTTAAGATGGCGCTATAAATGATGGCAAAATTGTCGTAAAAGCGGAATATTATTAAAGCGATCGTCAAATTTATACAGTACTCGTATAAAGTTTATATCCACTTAAATTAAATTAATTCATGTCTTTAGAAATATGATTACAAGTGTAAATAAAAATGTATACAAATTTAAAAAAAAAGAACCTCTTATTTTATGCAAATATTGGCTGCGTTCAACAGAAAAAGCAGCTTTAGAGCTGTGTAAGATTTTTTAAATATAATTTGTTCTTATTCTTACATTGGTTATTACATCTTATTTTTCAGTGTATTAAAATCAATATCATTGAAGAGTCTTATAACAGTTACAAAGCTGGTTTTTTTTTTGTTGACCGCAGTTATTTTGCAAATTCAAAGAATAGAAAAACAGCAATAATATCTGAGTTGAATGATATCTGAGAAAAAAATTCATGACATCACGAAAAAAATTAAAATTAACGCGACAACTTGTACAGAAGCACAGAAGCTTGTAGCAACATTGCTATAACGTTGCAATTGTTACTATAACATTGCAACATTCCTGGAACATTGCGATCTTGTTGTAATATTGCTACAAAGTTTGATAAAATTCGGGATGATCGAGAATGAGATGGATTGCGAGACTTACGTTTATACTGCTGAGGGGTGTCGGACTGACACCCCTGCGGCCACTGCCGCCACCACTGCTAACCTCCGCGTCCAGTTTGCCGATTTGTATAATCGTTCCAATGCGAACGGACTCGAGATGGTCCTATGATCCTGAAAACGCAATGCGAAATCACGCGAGATACGCACACATGTATCGATCGCGTGGACGATCTTTGACGTTGAAGGTACGCGGGCTTCGATCACGACTCCATCTCTCGAGTACCTTTGATGATTTCAAGTGTTCTCAAGATCAAGACGGATGCTTCTCCGCAATCGCGATACTGTCTCTCCCTCTCTCTCTCTCTCTCTCTCTCTCTCTCTCTCTCTCTCTCTCTCTCTCTCTCTCGAACGCGCAATCGTATCTTTTGATTTCAATCGTATCAATAATAGACACGCGGTTACGATACGTCAACGTTGCAAACGAATCGCACGGAGTAGCCTCCTTTTAGACCGCTGGCTACATTCATCGCGATGAGCGCACTAGCTGATTGGCACTCGTAAAATGTACGCACAATACTCGTGACGCTCGTCGGAGCACAGAGCGTCGACGCGCGGCTGGCCGGGCCGAAACCGCGAGCTTCATATTCACTTGATGCGCTCCACGCGTGAGCTGCTGCGTGAGCGGGAAATGTAACGCGAATCCTTACGACGGAGTACGGACACTATATCGCGACGGACCGAGTATCCCTTTTTCGTCGATTAATGCGCAACGCATCCGTGTTCCACTTGGATTCCTTTCGCGTGGATACTACCCGATTCCCCGACAAGCGGAACATTCGCGACGACGACAACGACAACCGGTAACGATGGCGATGACGATAATGACAGCGACGATGGTGGGTGATGCGCGCGTGATTAAGGCGATGACGGTGACAACGAGGCTGAAGGCGACAACCGCGACGAAGGCGAGTCAGCGTGCTGCTCGTTCGCCTTAAGGGCCGTTCGTCGCAGACGCATGCTCGCGGCACGTCGCAGCCTCTCGCACTGACCGCACGTAACACGTAAGAGAGAGGTGCGTACTGTACTTGTGTGTCTACCCCCTCCTTCTGTCTTTCTCTCTCTTTCTCGCTCTCCGCGTCTTCCCTCCCGTTGCACGCCGCGCCGCGCGCTCGCCCTCTGTGCGCTATCTCTCCCTATCGCGCGCCCGCTCTCTTCGTCACTTTCTCGTCAATTACCGTACGCACGGAAGACGGCCAAGAGGAGAAGAAGAGTTTTCACACACACGTGCGCATGCGATCGCGCCGGACTCTCTTTCAATCTGCTTTACGCGCCAACTTCTCGCGGGTATCCTACTATCCTCGCGCAATAACTCCGTATAGTCTCCGTAGGGAACGTTGATGAGTCCGGAATTGCCGTGGCGCCACTTTTTCTCCCCTCCCTCTACCTTCATTCTCTTCTTCCACCTAGTCCTCGTTGTCTTCGTCGTCGTCGCCGTCGTCGTCGTCGTCTTCGTCGTCGTCGTCGGTTGTCGTTGTCCTCCGCCGCGCAGTTACGAGGCTTCCTCTTCTTCGCAATGCCGCAAATCCCACCTCGTTTTTCCCTATAATTTACTCGGCAGCCAAGCTTTTTTTCCTTTATTCCATTTTCGTATCTCCTCTCTCCACCCCGCCGCTCATCGCGATTCTACCGTTGCTACCCTTTGCGTCCCTTTCGTTCCCTCCACCACCCCCTTCTGCTCTTCCCTCGTCCATCCTTTGCAATGTCTCTCTTTTTCTCTCTGTCTCTGCCTCCGTTACTGCCACCGCACCACCGTCACTGCCTCTTTGCTTCTATCTCTACCTCTGCCTCTGTTCGTCTGCATGTACCTCTTCCTCTTGGTGCCAGCCATGAATCCTCTATCGGGCTGAGGGGTCAAGAGGGTTGTGTGACGCGCCGCCCCTTTAATAGCGCTATGTCGATCTCTTCCATTCACCGTGCCTCCATCTACCAGTGGCAAGTCGAAGATCATTGTCGCAGTGCTGAATGCAATTACTCTGACACCCTGAGAAACAATATTCATCACAGAGAAATTACATTTTTTATCAGATTTTTTTTTCGATATGAAAAGAAAATGATAATTACTGTTTTTTCAATGAAAGCTTTTATAGATTATTAAAATAATTTTCGAAAATACTTTACAATTGCAATACATTGTAAACAATTGTACTATGAAAGATTATATGTATGATTACATGTACGTTAAGGGCTGCATGTAATAAAAGAAATATTAGACATAGAAATAACTAATATTTCGATTTCAAGCTATCATAAAACACTTCTACTGGAACATATGACAGTTCTGATATTGGTAGAAATCTCAATATTTATTCCTATTTCTAAATTTCTTCCATTATGTGCAAGCAGAACGGTTCTGCATCTGCGATCTAACAATAAGTCGACCCACCTGTTAGAAAGTGCAGAATGAAAAATATTTCTAGAGCGCTTACCTTTCCGACTGACCTTTTCTTTGAGTGAAACGAAGAAATGACAAGAATGACAAGAAAATATCAAGAAAGATTTTTTAAAATTTCATAGTACGATTCCTCTTTTTTTTTCATTCATAATATCAAAATCTCTGCTATAAAATCATCAAAAATAATAACTCGAAAGTCAGAAAATATTAGAAGAATATTAGTTAGAAGAATAGATTGTTGGGATAAAGTAAATAAGGGTATACATATAAAAAAACTTTTTAAAAATAATTTTAAAAGAATTTTTTTACATATATTGTATTCGTAGAATAGTTCTATAATCTTCAATGATTAATGCTTAGTTTGTAGTCTTAGGTAAAAAACATAACAAAGATAATTTTATAATAAATATTGATATAATAAATAAATATAATTCTTTTGACTAGAATAATTATTACATGTTGTAAGGGTGCAATTACATTTTGTAAATATTTTCTCAATTTTTGTTATGTTCTTTATCAATTTCTTTATCGATTTCTACATGAAAATATTAAGATGTGATGGTTGAAAAATGAATATTTTACAAGATATTTCGTATTAGTTAAAATAAAATGTCAAATATCATGAATTAATGTTTTATATCACTATTAATGTTTTATGACATTATCTTTATACTTTTTATATTTTAAAAGAATCAATAAGAAAATTTAATAAGTTTTAATAAGTTAAAAATAAAATAAAATTATTTTGATATGATTTTAAAGAATTAATCAATATCAAATTAAGGCTACCATTTTATATTGTACTTGAAAGCTATTTTCATTTGAAATACTTTTCACTGAAATTTTAAATTTTCGAGAA